CTCCCCCAAGTGCTGAAAGATGACTGCCGTAGATATTTCAACTTTGTTTTGGCACATTGGTGTATTTGATTTATGAAATTCTTTAAAGTTTTATATGTATTATGGAAGGAGTATAGACTCTGGAGTCAGTCAGATGTGGATTCAAATCCTGCCTCTGCCATTTGCTAGCTGTGGCATCTTGGGCAAGTTACTCAGCCTCCCTGTGCCTTAGTTTTCTTATCTATAAAATAGGAGTAAAAGCAGCAAGTACCTCACAGTGCTGTTATTGGGATTAATGAATGAATGCATGTGATGCATGGCACAGAGCAAATCAAGTATGTGTCACTTAGTATTAATACAGTGTCTGGGAGGTGAACAGAACGTTTTTATAATTATTTGTAAAAGTGTTCCCCTCATAGCATTCTGTGACAGATCAGAGTTGCCCATTTTCTTGAGACGATAAGTGAGGCACAGATGACCTGCCTGTGTAAACAGAATATATACTGAGCTTTAATAATGTCCGAATACATGATTCATCAGAAACAGAGGAGTTTTGTTTTATTTATGGGAATCAAGAGACAACCTTGTTGATGAGGTTATTATTAAGTCAGCCCAACATGGCGAGTGGGGAATCTAAGAAATCTCTTGATTTTAATAAGACCCTTCAGTATTTTATTATCAAGATGTTATTGTCAGCTGGATAACAGAATTGGAATTTTAAGCATGCAAAAATTTTATGAGAAAAGATTTATGTTCCGATTTTTTAAATCGTATAAAATGTGAGTCCTTTCACTGTTTTAAACTAAAAAAAAAAAAAATCTGGTTACCCATTCCAGCCAGTGTTCCTTTTATTCCTATTTTTCTTTAGGAAAGATGTTAATAGTTTTAGTGTTTTTTGATTTACAAGCTATATCTTTATAATAGATTTTTACCTTTTGAAACACAATATTGACAAAACTAATATTCCATGTGCTTTTATTTTTCATGGATTATAAATTAACTAGTTTTATGATTGGAATTTTTTTTAAATATAAAATTGTCTCGCCTTTAAAAAACATATTTTTTTTATTTTAAAGAAATGTCTATCAAGGAGCCAGAACTGTAGTTATTGTTCCCATAGTGTTATCATCTTCAAGGTATTCATTTGACCAAAATGTGATTCATACTGTTCTTGAACTTTGCTATAAAAAGGGGGAAAAATAAAAGAGAAATCTTTGATTTGTCACCTCCTGTCTCAGATCCATTTACGTTTAGGTGGTTGTTATACTCACTACTTCGTCATCAAGGAAAACCAGCTCCTTCCCAAGTCCTTGCAGCTTCCTTCAGTGTCATTTCACTATAATGCTCATGAGATGCCCTCGGAAGTTAACTCTTGTTTATACTAATTAGCCTCTGCTAAAACTGGCTTCATTGTACAGCCCTCTGCTTAAAGTTGCAGAATCTATCAGTGACGTTAAGTGAAGACTTACTGTATATAGATTTCCTAATCATGGTAATTCGTTTTAAAAGAAGTTCACAACAGGCTTCTCCAATAAAGAAAGAAAAGTCAAAATAGGACCTAGAGTACTTGGATGTATTGACATTTTTAATAAGTGAGCAGTTATTGGTGTGTATGCAACAAATGGTACCATAAAATCTATAGTCTGTTACTAAGGGAGTTGATATTTAAGATTTAGAAATATCCTGTGTGTACTTGTTTTATTATTAGCCACTGATTACAGAAATCATTTTGCAGAGAAAACTTTCAGAGTAAACTTTAAACGGAAATGTTGGTCACAGACTGTAATCTCTAGTTAGCAAAAATTTTATTGGCTTCCGCCTTGGTAAATCTTGAGTCTTTTCTTGGCCTCATTGATTCCTTTTGATGGTTTCGTGAAATTCTCAGGTTATGTTTCTTCTCTCTCTACTCTCTTCTGCCCTTATGGGCCTACAATTATATGCTGCTTAGGCTTTCCATTAGGTTCCAGATGTCTTTTATGCTGTTTTTATTTTTTTCTTTGTTCATCATTTTGGATATTTTCTGCTAACCTATCTTCCAGTTCAGGAATCCCCTCTTCTGTTTGCCTAATGTCCTATTGTATTCATCTTCTTAATTCTTAATTTCAGTTATAGTTTTTAGGTTTAGAATTTTCTTTTGACTTTCTTATGGACTCTAGGTCCCAGCTCAAATTCACCATTTTTTTTTTTTTTGCTACAATTTATGCAAATTTTTTTTTTTACTATCTCATTGCCAATCCTTCCCAGATTCCATGCTAACTTAATATCATTTCACAGATTCTAAGTCCCTAGCATCTCTTCTTAAGAAGAAACTAAAAGGAAGAGAGGATAAAGGCTGAATGATAATCTAGGAAAAACTTTTCTTTGTTATCTCTATTTATAGAATATGAGGGTTCGAGCAATGTGATGACTGGAGATGTATTATGATTTTATCATTAACAAGATATCTTTGATTTTTCTCATTTGTTCCATTTCTTTATATGGACTCTATGCCTAATGTTTCATGTTGAATTCAGTGTCTAAAGCGTTTATGGTAATGATAATTTTCTATTTGTGAAATATTATTCATTCTTAACTTTAGTTTATATTAATTGAATGTGATAGTTTGTGAGCTTTCAGCATCTAAAAATGGCATTTTAAAAACCCCTAAAAATTTTATTTTCTTACTTGTGATTTAAAACTTAAAATCAAAATGAAAACGGTTATGTAACATTTAGTTGTTTTTTTTTCCTGATAAGTCTCATGTAAAAAGTGCTTATAATAAAACTTCTTTTTAAATAATCTTGTATCTTCCCACATCTTTTATATTTGACACTCAGCATTTTATTATTAGAGAAAAAATGAACATGGTTGATGTTGGAGGAAAAATGATTTAAACATAGTTATTTTTTGAATATGATAATTCAAGTAATGAATTCTGGAGCATGCATTTTATATTTTGAAATGGGCAGTTTTTCTTCTTATAGGATGTACAGTATTTTTAAAGTAATAGAATATTTGAAGATAGGTGAACAGATTTTTACAACTCTCTTTAACAATCAGTTCTTCAGGTGCCGGGAATGTAGCCGACCGAGTTTTGGCTCAGCTCTTAACGGAAATCGACGGCATTGAACAGCTAAGGGATGTGACCATTTTGGCAGCTACCAACCGCCCAGATAGAATAGACAAGGTAAGAAAGAAGGTGTGTGGGTGCCAAAGCATCAGGAACTGGACCATTCGACTATGTTATTTTTGTTAATGTCAGATTACTTTCTAATCAGTTTTTCATTTAGAGGATATTGAATGAATTTAAAGGAAATGGAAGAGAACAGAGAACAGCTGTTGTTTATGCTTTTCTCGCTCATGGCTTGGTATTAATGCTTTACAGTAGCCTATAATTTATCCTAGTTTTTACCCACACCTGGTACAAAAGAGCTTGAGAAATTTTTAAGACAAACCTAGACATGAAAAGTTATTCTCGGGCCACCCCAAGGTTTGGGGGCCTTTTTTCAGCTCATCTTAGCATAAGTCAGAACCCCTGAGGCGGTGCCTTCCATCTTCTTTCGGCACGTCGGCCTGTGGATGGCTCGGGTCTCTTAGAGAAAATGCTGAACCAGATTTTGGGCAGAACTTGTCTCCAAAGTAGGAGATTGAAGGGATGGAAGTGGTTCTCCTTTTTTACCTCTTAGGGTTTTTTTGCATCGCCGTTAGTGTTTCTTACCTGCTGATATATTTGTCTTGGAAGGCAGGTGATGTGTTTCTTTACCAGCAGCTCATCAGTGACAGTCTGCAGCATCATGGACTTTGAGAAATTAAAGTTTGGGAAATATCTTGCCAAAATTCTAGTCATTTTTGATCTTTTATGAAATCTTACCTTTAATACCTCAGTTCTAAAAACACCTAATTGTCCAAAATAAGTGTTTAAGAGCCAGTATTACTACACGCCGTTAACATCTCTTGACTAATTAACCTTTGCTTCAGGAGCCTTCAGAGAAAAGTACAAACGTATGTAATTGTATGTGTGTGTATTTGTGTGTTTGTATGAATGTCTGTGCATATATGTAAATACATACATATACACACACAAATGCATACTTTGATTAGTTCTTAAAAATTAGAAGTCCATGTTTTTTTAACCAATTAATTTTGGATGAGTGCATTGAAACTAAGATATTGAAAGTGTTTGCTAGTTAGATATAAAGACCTAGTTTTACTCGGTCAGGAGGAATCTAAAAATCTTTAATTTACTGTTCAAATTTTTGAAAAAATTATAATGTTTAATGTGTAATAGATGAAAATAAAATTATTACTCCCAGCAAAACATAAAATGGGTAAATGGGGAAAAGTGTTTTTAAGAATGATTTCCAGATCATCAGATGATTTACTGTGTTTTCAAATACAACTTAGAATGTAGTACATTGAATCATGGTCTAAATGTCTGTGTCCTATTCTGCAGTTACATACACACACACACACAAAAATACCTACTTTAAATAATTAGTGACTTTGTAAAAAATATTTTAATCATTATTTATTTTAGGTAGAATCTCATATTCATGTGGAATGTGACTTTTTTTTTAACTGTGTTTTTGTTACTACTCACATGAGATGTGGTATATGAAAAGTGTATTTCCCGTCCAGATTTTTTTTTCTCTGAAGAACTATTATGGAGATTGTGTAATAATACTTTTAAAAAAGTTTCGGCACATATGTGATTAGAAAATGGTGTTCAAAATGTGCCCCAAATGTGCTGAGAAAAACAAAACAGTTTAAGAGACAATTTAAAAAAAAAAGAACATTTCCTGTTACGAAATGAATGGACATAGTTTTTCCCACCTGTCTTGTCTGGGGGAAACTGTAAGTAGGAAGAGAATAAACAACAGAAGAATTAAAGTAAATTTCATGTGCTTGTGCTAAAAGGTATTTTGCTCTTCGCCTAAAACTGTGAAGAAAAAAAAAGGACCATTTTAGTGTTGAAGAAGTACACATTTGGTCTAAGTTTGGCCATGTTCGATTTAGGTGTGTGTCCCGTGTGCTTTACAGTGAGTACTTTTGCCTGTTAGCCCATCACCTGTGTGTGATGACCCTAGGTCAGTGGTTAGGACAGGAGGAAGGCTTAGACTGTCAGGTGTGGAATCGGTATCATTGTGTGACCCATACATTGTGCATAGTTGGTTGTCAGTTTTGGACAATATTTCCGTTTCATGTAGTCTGGGGGAAGCTGAAACTGCATTTTCTTGGGGATGCTGGTGATTCAGCCAAGGAAGCGAGACACACAGCTCAAGAATCACTTTATTCTGCCTCCCGCCATGTCAAGCCCATTAACTATGCAGTATCACACTTGGCTGAGTAAAGTGATTGCTGCGGTCTCTGGTGGTCTGTCCAAGTCTCCACAGGCCTGCTACCTGCCCCCTGCCCCCTGCCCCTGCCCCCCAGCTTATACACGAAGAGAAGTTGCAGCCACAAGTGTCCATGTTACATGTGAAGGAGAGAGGAAGGTTAATTAGATTGTGTGAGGTCACATAGACATACTGTCTTTAGATTGATGATGGTCTAGATTTCCTCATCAGGATACTTTAGGACAGCAAACAACAATTATTATTGATGCCTAAATAATAATAAAATGCCCAAACTCTCGGAGTTTATATTGTTCTTTGTTAGGCTGTTGCTCGTGTGGCCCCTTTAGAAGGCTAGATAGCCTCTAGTCCACGACGTTTTCTGTATTTGTGTTGGGTATTAAGAAATGGTCATGTCTTTTTTCCTAGCCTCAAAATAGTTTAATTTTATGAATATTTTGAATTTAATCCCTTTGGTTACTTTTAGCACTGATACCTAGTATGTAATAGGTATCAGGTTCTCAATGATAATTATTCTAAGTATATCTCTAGCCTATAAACCTAATTTTCTTATCTTAGTAAACGTGTAGAATTTAAAAAATTCTGCTCTAAGCCATCCATGGAAAAGATTGCTCAGTTGAAGGAGATTTTAAAAGTTATGTGGGGTCTTGAGTAATTCGGCTTTCAGAATTTTTCTAATTTAGTATGTTTAATTCATGGAAGTAATAATCGCGTTAATTTTCCTTTTGGCTTTTCTGCATGAAGAAATGTGCTTGATGAGTTAAATATGACATTAAATTTATATTTTTTAAATATTGCAAATTGAAAGTTGGTTTTATGGATAGATATCTTTGTAGCACGGAAATTTTTTAATTAGCATATTTAGAAATGTCAGCAAATATATGTAGCTTCCAATTTTCAAATGAATTGTGTTCCAGAAATTTCTTCAGAAAAAGGTTACAGATGTTTGTAGATAGCTTTTCTCTTTACCCTTCCCAGTTATAAGTCCTGTTCTTTTAATACTGCTGTTCTCAGCTAAGTCAGAACTAAAAAATAAGCTGCTTGACCTAACAGACATAAAAAGTCTCAATGAATCGTCACGTTTTACTTTTTTACTTTCCTGTAAATATTTAAGGAAAGAATGCTTATTAATCTTTAATGCTGTTTATCAGAATGGTGTGGAGAGACTTTGGGGGTTGGAAGGGGAGCTGCAGTGTGGTCAGACCTGGGAGGCCTCCTCCATGGTCATCTTCTAGTTTCAGCTTTACCAGCATTCTGCAGGACTCTCAGAAGTACTTATATTATTGTTGCTGGCTGGCGGGCGGGTGGTGTGTGTGTGCATGTGCACGTGAATGTGCATGTGCGTGTGTGTGTTTTAAAGCTCCCGGTGTTTCCACTGCATCTTCTATAATAGCGGCCGGAAAAGGTTCAGCTTCCAGGGTGGGATACTGGGAGAGAGAAGAGACGTGGGCCAGAGGTCGCATGCATATATGGTTATATGTTAAGATGTCATTCAGATGTCAGGATAAAGACTGTCTATCCCAGAGTGTCAGCAAGCTGTGGCTGGCCCACCACCTGTGTTTGTACATCTCATGATCTAAAAATGGTTTGTACATATTTAATAGTTTGTACATGCTTGAAAAAAAGTCAAAAGAAGACTATTTTGTGTCGTGAAAATGATAAGAAATTCAAATTTCAGTACCCGTAAACAAAGCTTTATTGGAATAGTCTCACTGCTTTGTGAACGTATTGCCTGTGACTGTGTTTACACTACTGCAGTAGAGTAGTTACAGTAGGGGCTCATGGCTGTAAAGCCTAAATTATTTGCCATTTGGATTTTTATAGAAAAAGTTTGCTGACCATCGATCTACCCTTGTAAGCTTTTAGAAGTGTAGTAAAAGTCTAATGTATGTTGTTCACAATTTTTCTAAAGATTGTTTAAATGTATTTATTGCATAAATTTTCTGAAGATAAATTACATAGGAGTCAATAACATAATAAGCTTAAAATAAACCAAAAGTAGTAGGAAGGGTGTATTAACTTCTTGTTCTTTCAAATGTTCTATCTCTTCTTGAAAGTTCTTTTAATATTTAATCTTTTAGAATACATTTTCTTGGACTAAATAATTATATTTTCCAACCGAATGACTCACCAAAATCCATAAATGTAGAAATGTAGTTTGTTTATTATATGAATAATGTAAATATTTTTTCATGGCACCTGAATCTTAAAAGTTGCATTGGTTTTTGCCTTTTTGTAATGGTAAGTTGAATGCCCTTTTTAGTATTTGTCATTATTGGGATTTTTCAGGCTTACATATTTAACTTCTTGAGAAGTTAAAATTACATTTAAATATATTTGTTCGGTAAATAATATTTGATGAGGTCAACATGCAAATAATTCATTTAGTCTTTTAGTAGAGAAAGAATAATAACCAAATATAATTCTTACTGCCCTGGATAACCAGGTTCTGAAATAAATTATTTTTTTCAAGATTGGCGAGAACTGGGAGGGGTCGGTAGTGTAGTTGGCCTTCTGATGCGCCGAGCTCATCCAGCTCCCGCCCCGCGCTTCTCCAGCCTCTGCTCACTCACCCACGCTGACGGGACCTGTTAACTCGTGAAGCGGACGGCTCGTCCGTGGCTCACAGTGTTAGGAAGTTCTTTATTCTACTGAACCAGCAGCTGTTTGTCTCACTAAAGCTACTACACAACGGCCCGATTTTATTCTAAGATGCTGTAAAGAAAAGTTTTCGGTTTCTCTTATATATGGTTCTTTTTTATCTTTGAAAACTGTTATGTTGTCTTGTCTTTACATTGTCTCACCAACCAGTATTTTCTTCTCTGGGCTTGAC